ATTTTGGCCCCTTTCTCCTCATGCAGGCCAGCAAGAGCCAGACAAGGACCCTGTGGCCTTCAGGGTATCCCCAAGCAGTGGGCTGCTGGAGGCACGAGCAGTCCACGCCCCGCCCACCTCCATCACACTCCAGCTGTCCTTCACTGCCAGGTGCGGCCCCTCCTCAGCCCCCCGCCACCGCCCTCCAGAGCCCTGGCCCAGGGCCCCCCGCCATCTCAGCCCTGCTCCCCACAGGAGCTGTGAGCTGTACGAGTCCACGCTCGTGGTGGAAGGTGTGCTTGGTGAGAGTTCCTGCACCCTGCGGCTCCGCGGCCAAGGCTCCTACGATGAGAGATACGCGTCCCCCTGCCAGTTCTGAGGCTCCGCCCTCCGCCCGCAAATAAACATGGCCCAGGACTAAGGAACAGGTCTGCTGGCCGGGACGCCCCCTAGGCCTCTGAGCAGCTCCTGGGATGGAGGGACCCCTGCCAGGCCCTGTGTCCTCAGCTGCTACAAGGGTAGGTCGTGCCCCTGTGGAGCCCGCGGCAGTTAAGGATCAGTATTCAGGTCAAGCAGAGGCAAGCGCAGCACAGCAAGAACTGGCCCCTTGGGAAAAACCACGGCCGCTGAGACGAGGTGACACATTTACTACGTCCACTGCTCCCCATCCCCAGGCGGTACACAAGCGACCTTCCTCTGTCCCAGCAAGAGGGGCCTCATACCTCCCCAGCTCCTGCATTGTCATCAGTGGTCACATTTTCCAAATTGGCTGAAGTGCCTTGATTTGCCCCCACCTCCAGTGCTCAATTTCCCAGGTGTCACTTCCGCAGTGTGGCCGCCGGATCACTGGGTAGCACCTGGAGCCGAGGCCTCCCTCAGTTCCCAGGGTACTCAAAGACAGCGGCGGCTCCCATGCCGGTCCCGATGCACATGGACACCACCCCGTATGCCCTGTGGAAGCATAACGTGTTGGTTGGGTGAAGGCATGAAGGGCAGAGGCCCAACCACCATGCTCTTAGCGGACCAGGCTGAGCTGGGGGGACCCAGGCCTTCGTGGGCACAGAGGCGGCCAGACCCCAGGGCCTGCCTGCCTGGGCACACGCACAGGGTGGCAGATGCTAGCTGCAGGCCAGGGTCCCCCGCACAGCTGGCTCTCGGGGAAAACAGGCATCACGCCCTGTCCCCTCAGCTGTGTGTGTGGGTGCAGGCATGTCCCCCTCCCTCTGACACCCCCACAGGGAGCGGCCTCACCTCTTCCCGCGGCGCTTCAGCTCGTTGAGCAGCGTGATGACCTGTCGCGCCCCAGTGCAGCCTAGTGGGTGGCCCAAGGCCACGGCCCCTCCCAGAGGGTTCACCTTCTCAAGGGGTAGTTTCAGCTTCTCCACACAGTAGACGGCCTGGAAGACGACGGAACAGTAGCTGTAGCCCCCCTCCCTGGACCCTGTGCCCCCCTGCGCACTGGCTCCAACTGGGCAGCCCAGGCAGTGTGGTGCAGCAAAGGCTCACCTGACTGGCAAAGGCCTCATTGATCTCGAAGATGTCCACATCATCCACCGTCAGCCCTGCAGGCAAAGTGGGGGAGACCTAAGCTGTCCCAGTGGCCCCTTTGCAGCCTGTCTCCCCGGGGCCCCAGCCCATCCATGGCCTGGGGGCTGTCTGGTGTGTCTGTTCCAGAGGGGTCAGTGGCTCCCTGCTGTCGGGTAAGGAAGGGACGGGGTACAGGGTGCTCGCCTGCTCCACCCTCACTCGGCAGCACTCACAGCCCCCCACCCCCGCCTCTGGCAGCAGCACGCAAGGCAGGAGTTGGATCCAGATCCCTAGATCTGGGTGATCTAGGGTGTGAAGGAGCCACCTTACCTGCTTTTTGTAAAGCTACAGGGATGGCATAGGCAGGTCCAATGCCCATGATGTCAGGCGGGACCCCAACCACTGCATAGGACCTCAGGACACCCAGGATGGGAAGGCCCAACTCTTCTGCCTTGGACCTCCGGGCCAACAGGATAGCAGCTGCCCCGTCACTCACCTGGCTGGAGTTCCCTGGAGGGAAAGCATAGGGTTAAGGAGGCCCGAGGGCAAAGCTGAGGAGGTCCAGACCCTCCACCTGCACCTTGCCTGGTGGCTCCAGGCTCCCAGGGGAGGACACCCAGCATGGAAGCAGCCCCTGGCCCCGTCTCACCAGCCGTAGTCGAGCCCCCCGTCTTGAAGGCGGGCTTCAGTTTGGCCAGGCCCTCCAAGGTGGTGCTGGGGCGGATGCCCTCATCCTGGGCCACAGTGATGGTCCTCTCAGTGCCCGTGTCGTCGTGGACTGTGGTGGTCACAGGCACGATCTCGGCTTGGAAGCAGCCCTGGCTCTGGGCTCTGGCTGCCCTGCCAGCACCATGGACAGCCAGGCTCAGGCTCCCGTGGGGTTATCTTCCTTCCTGGGGTCCCTCCCTGAGGCCCCATGCCCTGCCCTTTGGGGGAGACATGCAAACTTAGGCTACTAAAGTTGGGAACATGCTCACCTTGGGGGAGCCCTACTACCTGCCTGCCCTGGGGGGTGGCGGGGACCCCCATGGCTTTCCAGGGCCTTCTTGGCCAACACACTCAAATCATCAGATCCTGGCTGATCCGTCTCAAAGGGGAGGGAGCCCTTCACCCAAGAGGGACTAAGCCAAACTGAGGCTGGAGCCCCAGGAAGATTTGGGCTGGGTTCTGCCAACTTTTCTGTTCGATCCCACCAGCTCGACTCCATCTGTTCCCCACACGTTTCCACTTACTTAAAATGGCAGTATTAACTACTTGATGAATCTTAGAATTAAACAGTGTAAAAGTACAAGGCATTTTAGGGTGATCCTTGCAATCATATGCAAAATATAAGGGTCCAGGGGCATTCCCATGGGGAAGATCAAATGGGTACTTGGCCCCAAGTGGCTAAGAACCAGTGCCTCAGAGAAGCGCACTTGGCTGGATACCACACCTTCCCTTTGCTGTCCTCTCTCTGGGCAGCTGGGACTTGCCAACTTTATCTCGCCCCTGCGCAGAAGCCTGAACCCCTGGGGTTCCTCTGATGTCACCACCAGCCCCTGCCTCAGGATGCTCCCTCAAACTCAGGAGTGGTCCAGAAGCTGGGGTGCCGGGGTCCCCGGCAGTGCTAGCCCCACACTCCAGAGGGACGGCTATTCAGAGAAACCTGTGGCTACAATGTCTAACCACCAAACAGCCAACTAGAGAAGAGCCCTGGTCCTCATTACACCCCCAATGAATAGATGGGAAAACTGAGGCCTAGCTAGGGAGAAGACGCTCAAGGTGAACAGACTGTAACTGGACATGGAGGTGCTAACTCTACAGTGGCCCTGGCCCCTGCCCACCTCGCCCTCCCAGGAGGTATGAGGCTTGGAAACCACTCACTGCCCAGCTATAGCCTTAGGACAGCCTCGAAACCTCACTCTGCTGCCTTTGAAGCATCCACCCCAAATAGCACTTACTTTTGCTGGGAAGCCAGTGCAAAGGTGTCCTGCTTCTCCCTGGAAATGCCAAACCGCTCAGCTACATTCTCTGAGGTTATCCTGGAACACAGACAGTGAACAGTGAGTGTGTGGCCTGGCAGCCTGGGGCCGGGGCCAGGGCCAGGCTGTAGAGCTGTGCTAGAACTCTGGGCCCCCAGGGCTATAGGCAGGAGACAACAGGAGGGCCAGTCCCTGCCAGAGAGACAGCGGTGACGCAGGGCGGAGAGCAGGGGCACGGGCAGGGAGTCAGGGGCCCTGGGAAGCTTGTGCACCAGAGACCAGCGCAGATGAGGGCGTGAGTGGGGGCGCTAAATGGCTACTCGGCCAGCTTCTCCTGTGCCTCAAGGAAAACTGCCTTACGGTGGGGAGATGGCTCCCAAATTCCCTCTGGGAAGGCCACCCCCAGGCTTTCCGCTCCCCGTAACTGGAGCCCACCCTCATCCCGGGAGCCCAGAGCCACAGCGAGGCCTCCCAGCCTGGGCTTCTGGCTTTACAGGCGCCCCTCGGAGAGGGTCAGTGGATGTGGAGGCAGCTGCACATCTCTCACATCCAGTGGAGCCCGGACACCCGTCCACAGATCCTGGGGCTGGCCTGAAGCTCGGGGACACTGCTGCAGAGCACAGGTGCTGTGCCCGGGCAGCGCGCCTCCGATGTTGCACAGACAGGGCCCACGTTCCCTCATCAGCATGGCCACCCCCTTCATCAACCTCCTGGGCCTCCAGGGCTTTGGAGTGTAGCTGCCTCGTGCCTAGCGTGACTGAGCCCCTCAGGGTGGGAGTGACAGGCTGGGCTGCCTTTGGAAACCCAGAGGCACAGAGAAGTTTGGGGGCCTCAGGAAAGGGCAGCCAGGGGCAGCATTAAGTCCCATCCCCAGAGGCCCTGCAGAATAGACCAGGCCCAAAGGCAGGAGGCCACACGATAATCCAAATTCCTACACCCCTGCTCCGGGCCAGGCAGGGAGCTGACGGGGCCCGGGGGAAAGGAGCCACGGGTGGGCACTCACCCCATAGGAATCAGGCAGTCTCTGGCCTTCTCTTTCTCCACCAAGCGTGAAGTAATATTGCCAGGGTTCCCTCTGTCAGCCAGCGACATGGACTCCACCCTGAGGAGGAGGACATCATTAGCAGGGCTCTCCAGGGAGAGCTGTGCGTCAACCAAGTGCTGGGAAGCAGTCAGGGAACTCTGGGAAATCCAATGGGCTGTCTGGGAGCCCCAGGTGGGGCACTGGCCAGCAAGCAGTGCTGGCGGTGCAGGGCTTCGACAACCCCCACCCCTCGCCCAGGGCAGACTGCTGCACGGTCCACATTTCTGCGCAGGGCCACCCTTCCTCAACACAACTGCTCCTGCAGCCAGTGGGCAGGTCCTGGGAGGGCAGCCTAGTGCTGGCCACCGCCGTTGGGGAAACACAGTTAACAAGCCCTGGCCCTGGCCTCAGGGGCCACAAATTCAGAAGAGAGAAGAGACAAGTATTTTAAAAGCTGCACATCAAAGGGCAGGCTGACCTGCATGGACAAGGAGGTGCTGGTAGCAGAGGGAAAGCTGAGATCTCAGCTTAGTGTGGCCAGAAAGGGCCTGCAGGAGGTGGGGGAACATAAGGCCTCAAAGGATGATAAAACACATAACCTCAACTGAATGCTTTTCAGGTGCCCCGTGCTATTTTACAATCTTTTCAGGTACTAGAGTGCTCTGAACAGTGTCAGTCACAGGATGTATGCCCTAGAGTTAGCTGCTGTTATGACCCCATTTAATCTTCTCATCAACTTCAACAGAGCTGAGACAGTTATCCTCATTTCATAGATTAGGACACAGAAGCCCCAAGAAGCTGAGTAACTTGTCCATGGTCACTCAGCCAGGATCCAAATTTAGGCAGTCTGGCCCCAGAGCCCACTCTGAAGTAGGATGCCCCGGGCTACCCGTCATCATCAGACTCTAGGGGGAACAGTCAGCATGTGATGTGGGGGACCATCCTGACGCAGATTCTTAATACCCTAGTAATGTGGTCTTTAACTTGCCTGGGGATTCAGATATCCTCTAAGAAACTCATGAAGCCTCCAGCCTTCTCCTCAGGTTACCCACACCTCCCTTCTCCAGTAAGACAGAGGGACACTAGAGAAATCAGAAGGCAGCCTGAACTTTGCCTGGCCAAAGTCCCCACAGGGAGGTCTTTGGGTTTATTTACAAGTGCAGACACAGGGCAGCACAAGTGCCAATTGGCACAGCTCTGAGATGGCTTAGAAAGGCTCCGATCAAGAAACACTATGAAAGGGGGGAGGCTGTAGCTCAAGTGGCTGAGCGCATGCCTAGCATACACGACGTCCTGGGTTCAATCCCCAGTACCTCCTCTAAAAATAAATAAAACTAATAAAACCAATTACCTCCCACTACACCAAAATAAAATAGTTAAATACAATAATGGAAATAAATATTAAAAGTAATTTTTATATATTAATATTTTATATAAAATGTTTGTAAAATACATATTATATAATTCATATATTTAATAAACTATCTATATTTAATAAACACAAAATATAAATATATAAATTATATTATGAACATATTATATAAAATATATATTTGCATTATTTTAGTTAAATAAGATAATAATAAAAATAAAGAAAATATTTTTAAAAAGAAACGCTATGAAGAGAAACTCAAAGACCCCTGGGGCCACTGGCCTCCCTGAGCCTGCCACAGCCCTCACTCGGCCTGCCCTCCCAGCACTGGTGCTCACGGGAGCCTGGGCCCTGGCACTCTCCCCATCCCTGGAGGTGCTGCCCAGTTCAACTTCTGTGGCTCCGTGTGCAGCAGCCAAAGGTGGAGTCACAGTTGACAATAACCAAACCACCACAGACCTGACCGTGTCCCTCAGAACCCAGGAGACAGCTGGGAGTTTCCACCTCGGTCAGGGTAGGGGACAGACAGCCTGCTAAAATGAACAAGCTAGTTCTATAGGAGGCAGCTGTCCCTAGCTTTAGGGGGACCAAAGCTGCTGTCTCTCCCTCATCAGCAATCAGGAATCAGCAAGAGCCACAGGAGGAAACCCACGTGTTCTATTTTCTCAAAATGCTTGCCCACATTTCCAGCCAGACAGATTTCCAAGAAAGCAAGCCCATTTCCTCTCGGGCAGGTGCTGAGAGGTGTGGGCGGTTCCTGAGCAGTCACAGTTGGGGGCTGCTTATAAGCTGAACCACTCCCAGCCAGCTGCCGGAAAGGGCCAGGGGAGAATCCTGAAATCATGGGCTCTGAGAACTCAGGAGGTGAAAATTAGTTTCACTGTTACAAATTGGGTTAATAAGCTCCAGCAGGAAGAAATTCTTACCCACAAGCCATGCCAATGTCATAAGACCCATTTCTGATGCCACCTGCAACAAAAGCATTTCATAAACATCCTTCACCAGAGTCCATCTGTCCTGGGAACAGGGGAGCCTCTTCCCCACCTGGTCTCTAAGTGGGACTCAGCCCCAGCCTCAGAGATGGAAGGCCCAGGAGTGTCCAGAAAAGGCTGGGGGCCGCACTGAGGGGCTTTCATTTGCTCTGTGGTTATGGTCCTTTGCGAAATCCTTACTGCTTGCCCAGCAGATGATGACTTTGCTGACCCAAACCCACGGAGCCAGGACCAAGGCCAGGCCGTAGCAGTGGGCGCCCCACCAGTCACAACTTACCAGCTATGCTGGCCACCGCCTGGAGTCCCGATGAACACTGTCTGTTGACAGTGGACAAAGGCACAGTCTCTGGGATGTCACTGAAACAGAAAGCAAGACCACAGAGTCAGCCCCTCTCCCTGGCCAGGCTCTCAGGGAAAGTAGGCTTGTGGCCAACATGACCGCCCTGTCAGGGGGTAGATAGGC